AACTTCCTTGTTGCTGAAATGCTACGACCATGGAATCACTACCATCCTTCTCTCGAACAGAATCGCTGTTCTACTGTGATAAAGAAAATCATGTATTTTTTTTTTGTCTTCTTCATCTGTGAAGAAATTGTCCAGCATTCCATATAGGAGGATTGATATTACATTTCAGCACTCTTTCTTTGTTTCTCATGTTTTCATCTTTTTCTTTTGTTTCTTTTTTTGAAAGGAAATTGTCCAGCATTCACTGTCATATAGGGGAGGATTTTGTTTTCTTTGTTTCTCTTGTTTCAAGTGTCTTCTTCATCTGTGAAGAAATTGTCCAGCATTCACTGCCATATAGGAGGGTCGATATTACATAGCAGTTCAGCACTCTTTTCTTTGTTTCTCTTGCTTCAAGTCTCCTTTTCATCTGTGAGGAAATTGTCCAGCATTCACTGACATATAGAAGGATTGATATTGCATAGAAGTTCAGCACTCTTTTCTTTGTTTCTCTTGCTTCAAGTCTCCTCTTCATCTGTGAGGAAATTGTCCAGCATTCACTGCCATATAGGAGGATTGATATTACATAGAAGTTCAGCACTCTTTTCTTTGTTTCTCTTGCTTCAAGTCTCCTCTTCATCTGTAAGGAAATTGTCCAGCATTCACTGCCATATAGGAGGATTGATATTACATAGCAGTTCAATACTCTTTTCTTTGTTTCTCTTGCTGCAGGTCTCTTCTCCATCTGAGCGTCTTTCTGTAGAACCACCTTTCGTTGCTTCAAGTCTCTTGGAAAGAAAATACAATGTGAGTAAAAGCCAAATTTTGTCCAAGTGAAGAGAAAGAAAATTTCCGGCAACTTTGAGACCTCGATAGATCATTCCCTCGAGCCGTACCGTTCTTTTGACTGTAAGCATATATCCAGGTGTCATTTCACAGAATAAAGACACGCCGTACATTATTCGTGTTTAATACGCACTTCTGAAAAAGAATCTTTCGTGTGTAATGCGTTCTAACATTTAAAAAAAATTTAGCGGATAAATTTAACCGAAATTCAGCATCTTATCCGGTTCGTCTTGTTCTAATTCCATATATATATATATATATATATATATATATATATATATATATATATATATACCCTGATGATCCACGTAGGTGAAACCTAGGTAGGTTTGCCTGGCTCTTTAGGTTCATAATTAGATTTGCTCTACTCAGTGTATTGAGCACTTTACATAGTTACTTTTGCTTTACTGGTTTTGGAGGTTTTTTTCTTTGGACTCAGCTTGGATTCTGAACGATTGTTTTCACCTCAATTCCATGGTCTTAGTTCTTTCTTCTTTTATTCCTTGTTTCTCCTTGGTCATTGGTTTGTTCATTTACAATCCATAACACCTAAGGTTTTTCCAGACGAGTATAACTATATACATATATATATATATAATATTTTGCTGCTACAAACATTTAAGAAATTTGTTGCTATAATCGATTTATTTATTTTTGGCTGCAATTCTCTTATATGAAAGGGTTCCAGAGTTTTATATTTCTGCTTATTATTACCTTGATGATCTATTTTTGACTAATATCTGTCTAAACTGTGTATTTGGACATAAGTGTTCCTTTAAATATTCTGAGATTGAACTATGATCATTCTGGTGAAACGTAAGCCGTCTCGTCATTGTCGTTCCTAATCAATTTTCTACAACCACCAAGAAATTAATTCGTGAACTTGAAAGGATTAAAACTAAAATAGACATAATACGTCTAAATTATTTAACCAAACATGCTTGAATATACATAGAAGAAGAAAAAGACAGGACATAAATTCGGGGTGATTTTTTTTATTGTTATCAACTAATAAAGTATTCCCTCTCCCAATCACTAAATATTAGCTCAAACTTGACAAAAATATTTAAAGTTTCACGTGTAAAAATCTTATAAAAAGGATAAAGATTTAAAAAAAAAAAAAAAAACACGCTGTCGCATTTTACGAAATCGGGTAAACTTGTATTAGATTCTGGTGGCTATAAATTGGGTGACCAATTTTCTTTTCTTTTTTTTTTTTTTTTTTTTACTGTGATGTTCATCTTGTACAAGTCCGAACAGCCGCTCGAAGTAGAGGGTCCTGAATTAAGAGGTATAGTTTATGTGGATATGTGAGGAAAATAACAGTTAATCCAAGACATGAACAGGTTAATATTATAGTCGGGAAAACACCCTCTTGGGAATCGGTTCTACAGAACGGCAGATTGCGACAACAAGTTGCCCGAGTGAGATACGAAGAAATGGAGTTGATTCGCTACAATGCGCGTAGCATGGCGGGTCCTAGACGTGAAGGTTAGAACTGGTGGAATTAAGGAATGTAGCTCGTCTGAGCACTTTCCATGGACATTACGATAGAGCAGTGACAGGCTTGCGACTTTTCGTCTGTGAGAAAGGGGTTGTAGAATGCGTTATAATTTGTCACCCACAGGGAAGCGAACGCGCTTTTGTACTCTAGCGAGTCTGGAAAATGTAGGCTGGGTAGTTCCTGCCCATGTATTGCAGCAGTACTCCATTTGAAGCCTGGTTTTGACTCTTGGTAGAGGATAGCACGAGGAACCTGGTACTTACTTGAGCGGTAGAGGGAACCAAGCATTTTTCCAGCATCTTTAAGGACGGGTCGTATGTACGAGTTCCACTAGAGTTCTGGGTTAAGTTTAAGACCCGATAGGCGCTCAAGGCACGGGTTCTCATCGTGATTGGTGATTGTTCATGGTCCGACCGGCGATGATGAAATGTAACTAGTTTGGATTTCGAGGCTTGAATGTAACCAGCGTTTCCTCCTCATTGAGCTGTTTGAGCTCGATCAGAGAAGAGATCAGCTTCCAGTCTCTGATCATCTCGATTTTTGGAAGAAGCACCCATATACCATTGTATCATCACTATAGATATTCACGAATCATCGGAGTATACTCTTAGGTAGATCATGTAATGTAAAAAGAGGGTTAGTCGGAGAATCCACCCCTGCGTTGATGGCTAGAACAAGCCGTTAACAATTAACTTCAGGACATACCCGCTAGGAAGGACTTTATAATTGAAAAGACTCTTCCAGTGATTCCATAGCTAAAGAGCTCTTGTAGCACTCCTTTATGTCACACCTTTGTAATATCTAAGGCAGTGGTTCCCAAACGGTGCAGCGCGCCTCATAGGTGCAGTCGAAGAGGATAGCAGGTGAGGCGGAATGATTGAATGACAATAGAGATTTAGAAACAGTTTAAAAAATTCATCTTCCATAAATAAAAATAATTTGAAATATTGTCATTCATTACTTGTAATTACATGCATGAATCCTAGTGTAAATAGTTATAAATAATTATTTATATTATTCGGACTATTGTCCTCATCTTTGTCGCCATATTTATTACAACGTTTCGGCCGTTCAGGGGGTTGAAATGTCGAACTGAACCCTTTATTTCGCTCACTCGGGTAGACGGTTCTAGTTCCACGTGCCATATTATAATGGATGTCAGTTATTTCCTGTTCCCTCTGAACGTTCTCCACTGCCTTAACTGGATATTGAACTCGCACCCTTTGGGTCCTGTCACTGGATCTAACTAACGTCTTTATCCAGTGTGCCATGTGTCCTTGAGGACATCTGTGTATGAATTTCTGGGTATTATAAACCTAATGTCTTCAGCAATCATTTTTTACCAGTGCTCATATTGCAATTTTTTGCTGTTATCATATTATGTTTTTACCAGAGCTCATATTGCATTTTTTGTTGTTATTATCGCTTTTGTCTGGCACTCGTTATTACTGGTTCCCATATTATATTCATTTCTATGCTTGGTCGGCTCAGGAGATTTTTGTGGCCTAGCATATGTGCTGATTCCTTAAGTTTACGAAATTTTCAATGGTGTTCTTTGTCTATGATCTCACCCTGATCATACAGAGGTCGGTGACAAAGATGAGGACAATAGTATGAATAATGTAAATAATGTACATAATACCTCATCTCAGAAATATAGACAGATTATAAATAATTATTGACCGATTTTATCACTGGGATATTTTATCAAGTATTAAGCATTATATCAAGCATTAAGAATATAGTAACTAGAGTCCGCAAATTGGAAGTTATCAATGATAATGTTCTGATTTTGAATCCGCGGTTATCTTCCTTTAACCATTTCTTTGTTTTGTTTTGTGTTTTTTTAATGTACTTTTTATCATATACAATTTGGTAAGGTGCGAGCAAATTTTCCTTCCAAAAATGCAGCCTAGGGAAAAAAGTTTGGGAAACCTGATCGTAAGATGTATCTGTTGTCTAGTGCCTCATTGATTCTGTGTGTAATGGTAGTTGGGACATCAGCAGTGGAACAAGCCGATCGAAACCAGTACTGCTTGTCTCCCAAGAGGTTATTCCTACTTAGGTAATCAACAACTTTTTTGTTGATTTTAGCCTGCTAAAAACACTGAGAACACTGATGGATCTATACTGAGAGGAGTGGGGTGAGCGTTCACATCCCACAAATTACACCTTATTAATATAACAATTTCAAAAAAATATATTTAAAGTGCTATAAAGAAAAAAACTTATAATAAGGTAATATTAAGGATCTGAAATTTGCTGTTTCATTTGACAGCGTGGTTAAATTTGTATTAATATATTATTCTGGGCATAAAGTAGGGGATCAGATTTCTATTATAATTAAGTAATGTACTTACCCCTGCCATCAAACCCTATAACAATTATCAATGTGTATTTATTTATATGTTTCCTTTATTTGACAGTATGGTTAGGCTAGTTAAAAAGAGAAAATTTCAAGTAAAAAGATTTTTTTTTTTTTACTAATTCTTTCGTTATTCTAAGGAAGACATTTTTTTCAAGGAACACGTATTTACGCGTCGATATGGTTTCATTTACGTGGCATCTGTTTCGCTTCTTCTTTTCGTTGTTAAACTGTTTCTAGAATTTTTTTTTCGCTTGCTTCCACCCCCAAAAAGCAACATTTGCAGCCTAGCCTCCTTCCAATTTGATGTGGGTTGGTAAAAATTGGCTGCTCTTACTGTGGCCTGTTTTCGTTCTGTCAGAGAAAGCCATTCCGTCTGTGTTCTTACCAGTTTTATTTACTTTCGTACCAACCCATTTTTTATTCTTCCTTCTTTCTTTCTTACTTTCCTTCTTTCTTTCTTTATATCTCTCCTAGTTTCTTATTTATCTATTTAAATCTATTCATATCTATTCTTTTTAGTATTAAATGCTATAACTGTCTATCTCTCTGTTTATATCTATCTATCTATCTATCTATCTATCTATCTATCTATCTATCTATCTATCTCACTCTCTTCATATCAATGTATCTATCTATCTCAGCCTGTTTATATCTATCTATCTATTTATCTATCTATATCATTCTCTTCATATCTATGTATCTATCTGTCTCAGCCTGTTTATATCTATCTATTTATCTATCTATATCATTCTCTTCATATCTATGTATCTATCTGTCTCAGCCTGTTTATATCTATATATCTATCTATCTATTTATCTATCTATATCTATCTATCTATCTATCTATCTATCTATCTATCTATCTATCTAGTTTCTTATTTATCTATTTAAATCTATTCATATCCACCCTTCTTATTATAAACGTTATATCTATCTATCTATCTATCTATCTATCTATCTATCTATCTATCTATCTATCTATCTCATCTTGTTCATATCTATCTAGTTTCGTATTTGCCTATTTAAATCTCTATTCATATCAATTCTTCTTATTATAAACGTTATATTTATCTATCGATATATCTATCTATATCACTCTGTTCATATCTATCTATCTATCTATCTATCTATCTATCTCAGCCTGTTCATATCTATTCATCTATCTATCTATCTATCTATCTATCTATCTATCTATATATCTATCTGGCTATCTGTTTATCTATCTATCTTGTTTCTTATTTATCTATTTAAGTCTATTCATATCTATTCTTCTTAGTATTATTAGAAACGTTCTATCTATCTATCGCACTCTGTTCATATCTATCTATCCCATTCTTGTTGTGAAGAAATGATACACACACACACGCACGCACACACACACACACACATACAGTAGCGGCCATAATATAAGAAACGGAAACAACAAACACATAAATATATGTTTTACTTAAAAAGTAATGCATGATTAGCAATTAAATTTTTACCGAATAAAGATTAGGTTGTAATGCATAAATATTATACAAAGTTACAAAAATTTACATAATAGTTTTTTTTTAAAACAAGAAGGACCCCAGACGAGGCTATGTCGAAGGGCAGAGTCTCGTCTCGGGAAACAGCTACGCGACCCCGGGATCTACAGGGAATTTTTGACCGAGCCAACGGACTGGGATACCCCACATTAAATCCAGACTTGTACCACATCTGACCGCTGGGAGCGGTTGGTAGATATCCTGCAGCTGGAGATTCATTGTGTAATTCACTTGACTCACTTCTAGCCGTTGACTAATTCTACGCGCCGCTGGCGAATCTTATATGTGTTGTTCTTGTCCTAAGTATTATCGATCATTACCAACCTTCGTCTGATTATTCTATTCAGTAACTTTTCCTACGTTAAAACAAATATACAGGATACAAGGGTTAATTGAGGGCATTTTATATTTTTATTTTCGCGCATGCGCGTTGTTTGTCCTTTATTTTGTCGACTGCAAAGTACAGTCCGGTCAGTTGGGCACCGTTCGCGAGAAAAATGTACCATGACGCAATTCACTCCACCAAACATTTGGAAACGGCATGCTGTATTGCTTAGCATTCGCGCTGGAAGCCCCAGTAGAAATATTTCAAAGTGTATCGGTGTCAATCTGAGGACAGTGCAGAGGATTCGGAAAGAGTTATATATATATATATATATATATATATATATATATATATATATATATACTTAAAGGTATTGGAAAAGATCTATGTCAGGTCCAGGCAGCCCTCCCTCTGTAAACAGAGGGAATGCCTGCTAGGGCTTGACATGATTCCCATCTGATCTTTCGACCTTTATTTTATCACATGCTTCTTATGTTTTTATATTTTATATTGTAATATTTAGTCTTCCCTCGATTTCAACTCTGTTCAGTGGGGGCGAAACCGGTCGGCTGGTCATTTTTTTCTTCCTATTTTCCTTTTAATCATGAATGGTAAATCACGTCTTGCAATTTTTATTTTATTTCCATAAAATTTTGTACCCCAAGAAAATAATGATATATATATATATATATATATATATATCTTGTGGCAATAAAAGTTATATATAGTGAGTACTCGTTTTTGAGCTGATATTCATGTTTATTAAGTACACATCTTAAAAATCTTTTATAGGTGTGTTTTAGAAGACATAGATATCTATTCAAACGCGTATACCCACTATACAATGTGCAATGGGTAAATTGTCGCCATTTTGTATTTTTAATTTCGCGCATGCGCGTTGTTTGTTCTTGATTTTATCGACTGCACAATATACTAGGGTCAGTTGAACACCATCTGTGAGAAAAAGAGCACCATGACGCAATTCACTCCGACAGAATTTTATAAACGATATGCCTGACTGATATGCATTCGTCCCAGGAGCTTCAGTAGGAACATTTCAAAGTGTGTCTGTGTCAATCTGAGGACAGTGCAGAGGATGCCGAAAGAGTTGGATGTCCAGTCAACATCTTCGTGTTTGGAGTGATCACTAATGATGGCGATGTTACACCTCCATTCATCATCCGACACGGGCACAGACTCAACGCGGACACCTATATCAAGTGCCTTGAGGAGGTAGTGCTGCCCTTGGTCAAGAATGTTGCTTCTGGAAGACCCTAAGTCTGGCAACAGGTCTCTGAACCAAGCCATACAAGTAGGAGAACCCAGTCATGGCTGTCAGGCAATTTCTGCGAGCACATCATCCCTTACATCTGGCCACCTAACTCCCCAGACTGTAACCCCCTTGAGTATTATGTGCGGGGCACACTTGAACAAACAAAACTCCTTGTTTCACCAAAGATGAACTGAAGGAAAGGATTATGGCAGCATTCACCAGCTTAAACAAGGAGATCGTCCAGTAGAGATGCAGGAGAATCCAAAATCGTTTGGAGGCCGTTGTTGAAGCCAATGGTGATTTTATGGAATAAATTTACTCTCTTTTATTTCAAGATATTTTTATGCAATTTTGGTAAATATATCTGTTACAATGAGACGTCAGTGCTATTTTCATTTTTTGCGCAACTTATACGACAATTTATCCATTGCACCTTGTGCGTGTGTGCGCGCGTGCGCGCGCGCGTGTGTGTGTGTGTGTGTGTACATGCGTGATAAGGTCCGCTTTAATTCTCTGTCTACAAATTCAGCTATTGTAAACTTAATTACATTGAAAGCAAAACCCATTACTACTGTTCTGAGAAAGATGTTTCAGACATGAAGATTTGTGTTGTCGTCTCGTGAGCGTATTATGCGATGTCTAGATTGAATACAAGACTACATTTTTTTTGCATAATGCGCAAAAAAGTAAAAAATAGGTTGGAGACGGTCTTTTTTTTTTTGCGAGAAAAGAAATTGTTTTTGTCTTTCCTTTATCTTTCAGCCACTTTGTTAATTGTCTTCTTTCTTTTAGAAAGTGTAAAAGTCTTTTGAAGATTGGTAATAGCAGAGAAAATAATAATAATAATAACAATAATAACAATAATAATATTACAACAACAACAATAATAATAATAACAATGTTAACCCAAAATGCTGATTCTGTGATAAATATCCAGAAACGATTGATCATCTTGTATCAGGTTGCACGATATTGGCACCCACTGAGTATAAAACCCGACATGACAGAGTGGGCCAATATCTGCACTGGAAAATTTGCAACTTCTACGGGAAGGAAACTGAAAGAAACTGGTATGAACACCACCCAAACCCGGTTACGGAGATAGGATCTGTTATAATTCTATGGGACTACACAATACACACTGACAGAACAATCAAAGCCAACCGCCCAGATATTGTTATTAAAGACCACAAACAAAAAAGTGACTCCTTACCGATATGGCAGTCCCTGCAGGGTGCAATGTGTCTTTGAAGATATTCAAAAAGCTGTCAAAATACAAGGACCATGAAATAGAAATCTCGAAAATGTGGCATATGGGAACATCAACAGCCCCTGTTGTAGTTGGAGCCCTGGGATTGGTTGAAAAAGATTCCAGTAGACTAATTGAAGGGATTCCTGGAAGTCCATGCCTCAAAGAGATCTAAAAAATTGTTCTCACAAGTACAGCCCACACTTTACAAAGGGCTTTATCTATGTAATGTTTTTCTCTTTTTGTCAATGGAAAGTGTCATGACGCCATTTCTAACCTTAGGTCCCTGGGCGGGCCCCGGTGAGGAGGAGGATGTGGAGGAGGAGGAGGAGGAGGAGAAGAAGAAGAAGAAGAAGAAGAAGAAGAAGAAGAAGAAGAAGAAGAAGAAGAAGAAGAAGGAGGAGGAGGAGGAGGATTAGGATTGGGTTTCCGGTTCATTCTAAAGTTTATCTCAACTCTGTACATCTAACGTCACCGCCTAAACTATGAAATTTTATATACTAATTATTTTCTTTTTCATTTGTTTTCTCCTCAATGGGAGTAGATAGATTCGTCTGTTGTTCGGTTCATAGCACTCTCCAGTCTTTTTTAACAGGAGGTTTATTCCTTATTTCCAGTTTAGGATTGGGTTTCCGGTTCCTTCTAACCTTCATTTCAACAGTATGCATCTAACGTCACCGCCTAAATTTTATTATCTAATTAAATCTTGACCGCTTCTTCGTCACCCAGGCACTCCGCAGTCGGGAGGTCAAAGCCTGACTCATCTAGCAACGGTTTAAGCAACTTACGGGATTTGATTATCGCCTATATATATGCTGTTTCTCTTTTGCCTCTTTACCCAGATTTCCCCGACGATCCGCTTAGGTGAAACCTGGGTAGGTTTGTCTGGCTCACTAGGTTTATATATATATATATATATATATATATATATATATATATATATATATATATAAAAAAAGACAACCTTAAGGTTCCATGACTATAATTTATTTTTCCAGAAAATATATTTTTCCTATTTCATCAGGTCACATCTCTAGTTACAAAGGAATTTGGTTTACAAATTTATATGTCTGTATTTTATTTTTAATACACGTTTTTGAGGGATAGTTTTAAATTGATGTAAGGTGACAGAGAGAGTGGGAGGACCATAGAATGATCTAAATTAGAAATGGAAGGGAGGGGTAGGGTTGTGTCCATAAGTTACGTAGGTTCAAGTGTACTCAATTAAGAGTATGTATATATAACCGAATATTGGGCACGTGACCGAGTGGTTAGAACTTTTGCATTCTATGAGACCCGGGTTCGAATCTTACCAAGGCGACTTTCTGATGTTATCGGACTGGCGCGATCGATCCCAGTGTACGCCACCTTTGGAAAGTGCCTGAAAACCATACCACGTGTTGACCCAAGCCTTGTGAGTGAAATTGGGTAGACGGGACATTTTGGGTGACGTCGACAGCTGTGCTAGCAGGAAGTTACAAGATATCGTGGCCGTGCTGACCTTTTTCTAATTGTTTATCACGCTAGATAACACGCTCTCTCCCAGAAATTATAATTAAGGTCTGCTCAGCAGAGTTGCAGTATAAGCCACAGGTTGGCTCTGTGGGTGTTGAATAAAAAACAAATGCTACTGAGCAAGCGTCTGCAATAGGGATTTACTATCCGCCCTAGTAGACTGGTATCCTCGAATACCAGTGGCCAGCATACTTATAACCGAATGGGAAAATATTGGTAGTTATGCGATGTATTTATTTATAGGTTCCTCTATAAGGCTCTTAGTTCATTTTACTTTATTTTTTCTTATTTTATTTTATTTTAAATCATTTTTTTCCATTGATATTTATTATTAGTTATTATTATTGTTAGTACTTTATTTTATTTTGTCTTATTATATATTCTTTTATTTTATTTTATAACGGCATATGTTGTTCTTGATATCATTAGTTTTATTTAGTTTAGTAAATAAATGAAATTAC